ACCGGACGCCCACCGACTTTATAAATATTCAAAAGGTATCAATAAAAAATTTAAGCAGGCGTTTGTTGAACATTTTTGCTTGATTTGCCACGTTTTTCGAATGTCTACTGAAACAAACGCTGTATAGCTAGTTGGTTGTTTAATTTTCTGGAACATCAGGCCCTCATAGTTTGCTGATCTTACAGAAAATGCCTGTACCAACAACTTTATTGGGTTTTTTTGCGAAAGTACAAGTGGCTTGCATCTTCAAAATTGTGTTCTCTTCGGGTACCACTCTTGCTTGCAAAGTGTCGGGAAGAAATTATTTCCACTGCGCTCTAAAAGCCTGAAAAGTTAACAAGTACAGATATAATTTAAAGTGTGTATAACTTTTACGGCTTATGAAAACTACTAATCTCTGATGAAATGAAGAAACGAATTCAATTGTCAGCAGAAATCTTTATAAACAGGCAATTTGGAAGAAGCACTTTTGGGCGTTAATCTGCCGTTAAAACAGCCGCTTCTAATGAAAATAAAAAAAACAATTCATCATCTAGACTGGGTGGCACAAGTGAAATACGTACAGGAAGTTTGCACTGGAAGGAAACTTCCTTTCGCGTCAGTTTAATATTCACCTCACACTATTGATGTATTTGACCCCTATAGTAACAACTCGTTTCTTTCGGTGTAGTCCAACACTTCGTAAATCTCTGTCATTGCTTGTTGGCAGGAAGAGTGTTTCCGATTATGGAAACCATATGTAATTTTGCACGAAAACACAGGAGCAGAGTAGATCCGAAAATAGCGATTTGTCTGTTTACCCTAACGTTTTTACGCGTTCAAACTTCCTGTTTCTAAATGTTCTTGCAATAGTTTATGGTGCCATGCAGTTGGCCCGAGTGAGCTAAATTGGACGTCTCGCGACCTCATTGTTATTTATTTAAAGCCCACGGTCTGCCGCGTTGAGAAAGAATGGAAAGATCAGCAACAAGCAAGTAAACATTACTTCATCTGGTTACGTTTTGCCAGATTTACAAACAGGATTTAATACAACTCGTTCTTTTTTTTCTTAAGAAGTGAACGGCTTTATTAGAAGATAAGTTGTTTTGTTTGTTGAATTCCTGCGACGCGTAGAACCGACATATTGAGAGCACCAGCGGCAAAATAGTGAAGATGTGGCCGTATCTTGCACCTAAATTTGTATAGTCAAAATTCGCTTTTTTGTGAAAACTGCCACTATTTAACGCAACTTCCACTGAGTGAATGGGGTTTTTAAATCTCTAACCATTAAAAAAAACGGAGTCTGTAGCACAAATAGTTGAGATATCATCAATTTTCTACATCGAACCCAAAAAAGTTTTTACTTTTCCTTTAAACTTCTTTAGTTGAGCAAGGGGGGGCAATGCAAATGCGTTACTTAAAAACGCAGATAATCGTGCAGGATTAAGTTATCTGTGCCAACTTCGAGTTAAATGACAAAAAGCATAGCGCAGTTCACAATCAAAACTATTTTCATATTACATAGGTTTGCCAACCTTGTGCGTCTATATTAGAACCAAGTGCGAATTCTTTATCTGGCATTCTAGTTGTGTTATGATTAATCCATAGGCCTTTTATACCGCTGATTTTTCTGTATCTACAGCAGGGAAATGAACCCAAATAGGGTATCCGTAGCCTTGGCTATAAGCGGCTGATTTATTTGATATCAGATCGCGGGCTGAGCATGCCATAATTTTCCACAATGAAGAACGTCTTTCAGCCTAGACAAGCGTATACACGGTGATTTACGTTCGGCTTCAATGCACCTAATGCACCGTAATTGAGCGAATGCGATCTTCAACTCGGAACGTTCTATGTTGGAAAATGTAAACGGGTTCAATATAGGCCTAGAACCATTGTTTAGTGCAACACTCTGTACAATTAATGCCATGGAAATGCCACTGCTTGGGGTTTCTTACAAAATTCTTTGCTGAGTAGGGATTAATTTGCGATTTTGAAGAATGCATCGATTGATGTGAATATCGACGGGTTTTGGTTTTTCCCACGTGTATTTTTTTCATTGTAATCTTGGCAATTTCACTGCGGAATTCGAGAGCTTTCCATTTCTGGAAAGTTCTTTGAACATATTTCATGGCCTCTTGTTTTTCAACTCGTTTTATAATTGTTCAGAGTGGCAATCATCGGAAATGGCACAACCGGGCTTTTAATTACTACCAATTAATTATTATTGAGTCGCATGTTGAGAGATTCGAAGGTAAAACTTAACAAATTTGCAGTTAGAAAAATGGAAACTGCGCCTCTTCTCACACTAGATTTTTCGTCAGTTTTATGGCCACCCGGAAAGCATCTTTATGTCTCATTTAACAGCGGCAGGCTTCTAAAAACGAGGCCTGCCATCGTAAAAGTGTCGTAAGTTGGCACCGAATTAAGCAATAAAGCACCGAGTTGCCCTTACCAAACTATTCCTTCTGTATTCCCTGAGCATTTTTACATTTCGATGATATTCAAGCCGTTATCATAGCTGTTGCTGTTTAACTTTCCCGGCCTGAAGGAATGCATGCCGGTCTGCAATTGAGGCTTCGGTAGAATTTTATTGCCCAACTCGTTTTTGCTGCCTACAGGTATATCCATATAATAATGAAACACTACGGCCGCTTTATTTGTGCAAATCGTAGTAGAAAATTGTAATTAAAGCCACTCCTATCCATCCGGAGTGGAAAAATTGTAATCGATTCTGAAAATCAATCAGTTTTTCCATAACTCCCCATTGTAATGTGGATGTCGGGAAAGGAAAAAGTTTGACGATGCGGGAAAGTTGCTAATAGATTAGATCTTACCCATTATCAGCTTACCTATTTGCTATGGTAATGAAGTTTAAAGAGAAAATGGAAAGTCTATATTGGCTTATCTTTATCTCATATTTGCGATTGTTATATGAAAGTTGATTTTTTTGTTGCAGGCCAAGCAGAGGGCATCGATAAAATGGCTTCTTTCCAAAGCGTTCAACAATAAAGTTCCTGAAAATATTCGAGAGCCATTCTACAAGGACCATGAGGTGTGTTGCACAAGCTTTTCGACTTCCATGCATATTTATGATCACTTTAAGTAAATGTGCATTCGACAACAGCAAAATGACATGAAGATAAAGGCTGGCAAAAATAGATTCGATGTAATTTAACGACCAGTCAATAGCCTGAAAAATGACCATCATTAATAGTCAACCTGTTCAAGGCGACTAAACTTCGGAGTCCGAATTCTAATCGAATGAAATTAATGCCAAGTCTGTTAGTGATGTAATCACATTTTTAGCTTTAGTGGTTAGATAATACTAGGAATTTTTCCTAAATGTTTGTGGAGGCGCATCCACCATTATGTCTAGTGAAGAATTAATGTCCTAAATTATTTGCCTCATTTTTTCTCTGAAATGTCCCCAAACTTGCGCTGTTAAATTAATAACCATGAACTTAATTATGAAACTAAACGTACCGTTGGCAGTTCTTAACCGAATTTGTCTTGTAAAATTGTGAAAATCAATTTGCCATCTGACCTTCCACTAAATCAAATCAGGACTATCCTTAAACCATTGGAGACTTGTAATGCATGCTGCATTCATAATTGATAAGATAGCAGACGGAAATCGGGTAATTGAATTTGGCATCGATTAGTAGCGCGTTTTGCAGCCATTGTGTCTTAATTCGATTCGAATCGGACATCTAGGCAAATAAAGAAAATCCTTGACAGCGCCCGTATCGAAGTCGACTTGCATTTAGGTCTAAGACCTGTTGCTAATCAGCATTATTTCAGAATCAAGAGCATCTCAAGCCGCAGATTGCGGGCGCATTGGCCAACGCTGAAATCTACTGTAGAGCCTTGGCCAACATCTACTCGGACCCGAACTATCACAATCTCAACCACTGGGCGATTTTGCAGACTTTGGCCCGCAAGAACGCTTTTGCCCCGGAAGCACCCGATGGGTCCCAGTTGACCGAAACCACACTCATACAAACCAACCCTTTGCGAATGGTAAGCCTGCTGCTTACCTCACGCTCTGTATACATCCAATATTCTGTTCTAGTCGGCTCATATGGCAGTGGTGGAGTCCATAATGCTTCTGTATGCTCGCGAAGTTATCACAAATGACCGAGTGGCGGCCGCCGTGCAGAGGTTCAGTCACCAACGCGTTTCTCCACCCAGAGATCCCTCTAGTCATGAACAAGGAGCTCTGCTGTGGATCCAGCACGCCTGCGACGCTCTCAAGGAGCGAATTGAGCAAGAGGCTGGTTCGGGGGCCCTTGTGGAAAATGGCGGCTCGGTTAGTTGCCTCAACGGCATTTGGATTGAGGAATTATGTTGCTTGTATACAGGGTGATCGCTTGAAGCCGCCAGACATCCCAGCCAGTCGGGAGGTAAAGGATCTTTGCGATGGAGTGGGTATAGCGGCGCTGGTGTCTTATTACTGTCCGGATGAGCTCTATTGGACCGAAATCCGGATTTCATCAGTGCCCTCTGTGCAGGATAGTGTCCACAATTTGAGGCTGGTTCGCGATTTTTGCCAGCGATCTTTACCAGCCTCGATTTTTCATCTGCAACCCGAAGATATCACTTATTTGCGAGAGTAAGTTATTGTGCATTTTATCTCTAAATGGGTGCATTCTACAGGGCGGCACCGGGGTTTATTTTGAGGGGGCGCCCAAATATGTTACGGCTTTAAAACAGTCATACCGGTTTTATACTACCAACTTTTCATAATTTATTGAAAGTACATTAAAATGTTGAATTTGTTAAGGGAAAACATTTTGTCATGAGTTTGAAAGTAAGAGAGTTATTTTGTTCAACAATGTTCAATCATCCTCCATATTTAAATATGCTGATTTATATTGCATTTCCCTGTTTGTTTTAGCTCTATGAAACTCAATCTGATCGTTTTTCTGGCCGATCTTTTCAATGTAATGGAGATCCATCCGGTCAGTTGCGTCCGCGACAAATTCAGCGCCGGTAAGTGCACTGTTACCTTAAAACTGCTGTGTCCATGAAGGCCGTGTATTCGATTTTTGTCGTTTCCTTTTTTGTGTTTTTCTTCTCCTGTCCACAGCTTTGAGCAGACACTCACCATTAAACCGTTCATACGAGCATTATTCAGTGAATTAATTGCGATTCATTGCGCGCTTGCTACTTTTACTTTTCGAGCATTATTGTAAGATATTTTTTTAAGTGTAAAATTTGGTTTTTAATGACCGCTCAAGGTTTTATGAATTAAATGCAATCAATTCGGACGCACTTTGTGCAAACAGCTTCAGCTGACCGGCAGTGCCCTTTGAGATTCGTGTAGTCCAGGCACCAGTAATAAGTATCCAAACTTGTATCTCTTGTATTATTAAAAACACAAGCAGAAGCGTCAATACAAAATTTGTCGTCGACAACTTCGCTGGGTTTGTTTGCTACAGACTGATTAAATTGATTGGTTTTCTTGGATTGAATTGGCTGGGTTCATTAATTGCTGATTAGAAGCGCTCGGTCTATTTATGCTCGATAGGCATAAATTTGCATTTACCCCATTTTCTGGACACCATAATAAATTTCGCTTTATGGATTTTCAGTTTCCTTTACACAAAGCCTGCGGCAGAAGGTTTGCTAGAATATTGCTCAACGTGCCGAGTGCTGCTAAGCTGAAACGAGACTTATTGTACATAGTGGCAAAAACTGAACTGTACTTGCAACTGCTTCAGATTCCTCTACCTCTGTCCCGTATCGCTTATTCAATGTGTGTTAATTTGCTTGGTGTTTGTCTATTATTTTGATGGTGTTGGGCAAGTATCGGACCATGTGGTGGTGGTATTTTTGCGGTAAGAGACCTTATAGTAAGGCCAGCCGAGATTGACATGAAAAATTAGTTTTTACTTGTCTGCAAGTGGTGATAGTTTTTTACAGTGTTTGTCTCCTGGTTTGCCTCAAAAACTGTATGTTTCCGAACACAAAAAATCGCTTTTCAAGAACGGTAGTTGAGAACATCAAGCATGGAAGTTATTCAGCATCTTCGAAATCGAAATTTATAATCAAAACTGGCGAGTTTGTCGGGCTTGTAGGTCATCGTGGATTAGATCTTCATAGTGGGGCTGCGCCGAGTAACCATATCTGAAGATCTGAAACGCGTGCTGGCGAAACGTCAGGTAGAAGTTCTAATCCACGATGATCTAAATGACCGACGATGATGACGAAATCTATCGGCATTTTGTGACCACTGTTGAAATGTGAGGCGCGTTTGCGTGACGAAAAAGAAAAACTAATTTTCCATGTTAATAACCCTGTAGCTAGAGACTGGCTAGATATTCGGTATTTTTAATAATTCCAATGTATTTGGTTTACGTTGAGTATTCAACAAGGAGGATTTTGTGCTTAATGATTCTTCTATTCGTTACACCAGCGCGTGCTGGTCTGCAAACCGCGAGCGCAATTAGCTAATGATAAGTAAACGCAAATTTTAGCCAGAAGTCCGATTTAAGCAGGCCACCTTTCACATTGGTAAAAATTGCGAATTTTGACCCAGAAATCCTGCATTGGCACTTCCTGTCTCTGCGACATCCTGTCGATTTTTGGCCACAGAAGAAACCATCAACCATCTTTGAGAGGAGGATTTTAATTTAAACAAGCCACACAATCGTCTCTATCAGCAGCTTAAGCCGTAGTGTTTTAATTCATTAGCTAAATGAAAATCTTGTTCGAAATCATCAAACTTGGCACAGCACTGGCTGGCATCTCGACTATGGTTAATTATGGGTAAAATGTTAATTAATTCGTCGTGTGAAGTGGCTCGAAAAAAATGAACGAAAGTTTGACCGTGGTCGTGGAGATTCCGCTTGTAAAGATGCAGCTGTTACGGACTGCCGGAATTCAGATTGATTAGCAGTCCCAGTTGTTGCCGATTAACCTTAATGGAAGCCTTGTGGATGACCATCGAAACAGCGCCCACTGATTCAGTTGCGAAGTGAATCGAATGTGTGTGATGTGTGAGTGCAGCGGTCACACACAAGTTGTGCAGGATTTTGCGATAGACGGTAAAGTTTGGCTGTTTCTTCGGTCCTGCCGAATGGCAACTGCATCGGGCGCATTTGTTTAACTAATAAGTAAATTAAGCTGTTTACTGTTTACTTGATTTCTGTCCGTGTATGCCGCAGAAGGATTCCCTGTGCGTAATGCGCACGGGGTTGTACACAAGCGCAATCTACTACAGCCGGTCGTGGCACCGATACCAGACCTGCGCAGCGGCTTAGACGAGTCTACAGCCGCCACTGCCTTCCAAGGTAAACCTTATCAATCCCGTAGACTGTGTGTTCCCTTTTGGCTTTTGTTTACCACCGAATCATCTCATAGTTTTAGTCACCGCATGGGCAACATGTCGATCGTGGTTTTGCCAGCCGGAGGGAATTTATTTCGTTTTTCGTGCGTTTGAATGGCGTTTGTTACTAGAAGAGAAGCATGCAGTGGCAGAGACGCGCGTGGATTGGGCTTGATCATTAACCTATTAACCAGGCACTTTCTCTATTAATTCTGTTACTAATCAGAGTGGTAGTAGTAGTAGTTTGGCATCATTAGCGCAAAGAAACTGTTGAAGAAACAGCCTTCACTGCTGGGTTTCAAGGAGCAGAATCCTCCATCCTCATCCCTCTTAGCTCTCATAAGGCTCACCTTAAAGCAGACAGCCGTTGAAGTAGTGGAACGCTTTTCTAGGCTTCTTAGTTTCATTTGGCTAGTGCACTTTCACTAACGTTTCCAGTTTTCCCCAAAACACGCGCATTTCGGAAACAGTCCCCATCAACAGACTACACCAGAACACCTCTTGCTTAGGAGCTTCCCTAGACATCTCGCCTAGATATTCTAACAGTTTTCTACTTTTAGTGGCCAGAACGCCCAGTCATCAGCCCCTGAAGAAGTCGAACTCGTTGCAGCAGAGCCAGCAAACGCTCGCCTCCGAATACAGCGAGGACAGTCTGAGACGGGGCTCAGACGAGTCGTTCGTTGTGCACAAAGGCCGCAACATTCCCACTTTGCGGTCGGTGCAGACGGAGGATCCGCTGATCCCGGCCAGGCTCAAAGTGAGCAAAGAGAAGCAGAATAACGACAGCAAGGCGGACGAGACGGGCGAGGTTGCTGCTGGCAAGCCGAGCAATTGGCAGGAGAGCAAAAAGAGCACCTTCGCAGGCAGGAGAAGCAGGCGCAATTCCACCACCGACGACTCTCAGCTTACCATCGAAAACTTTGGCGGTAGTCAGGATAATTTGAATTTCATTGGCCGCAATCCTGATAAGGAGGTAATCAACTGTGCCAAAGTCCAAACAACTTGGCTATAATAGTTCGGGGTTTTGTGCAGATGACTGTGCATGTGGGCCGGAAAATATCAGCCCCAAGTTTTCCGGTTGCCATTGAGAATGCCCCGGTCAGATCGACGCTGCAGGACGCAAGAGGCTCCTTTCAATTAGGTTACGACAATGGCTGTGAAGAGAAACAAGACGACGGGTCGGAGAAGAGCAGACTGAAGAGGCAGATGAGCAGTGACGACATTACGCTGAAGAAGTTCCAGGAGCGGGGCCTCATCAAGGATTTGGTGGATGGCGACGTGGGGAATCGGATGAGTTTTGCTGATTTGGGCAAGCAAAAACCTAGTGAGTCTTCCGAACCTGTAATTGTAGGCTTTGATAGAGTGTGTCCCACATTTGCTGGCTACCAAACGTTATGGTATTTAAAGCTCCATCAGCCAGTGAGTGGCTACATTTGAAATAACGCTCTGTTCTGTTCTAGTTTTTAATCAAGACAATGTTTTCCAGGTGATAATAAGGGAATACACTTAGTTTATATGAACGACCGGGAGGAGCATCCAGTAAAGCCCGCTGTAAATAGATTAGGGAGTACGAATGGTAATTCGGAAAACCGGACGTCCTTTGCCACATTGCCCAACCAGACTACGTGGCAACAGCAAGTTAGTAGCGTGCAATCTCTGCAGGCGCAGCGGGATGGCAGCAATAGTTCCGAAACGAGCGGCACCAGCAATTTGATGGCTTCGCAGATTAGCGATATTCGGTATGTAGAAAAGAATTATGCTGTCCGGCTTCCAACTACTAATGGTGTTTTCCCAGGTTGAAGTTAGAGGAAAAACGCCGACACATTGAAAGCGAGAAGCGACGACTGGAAATGGCCATGAACACGCAAAGACAGAAAGTGGGCAAGGCCGCCTTTCTTCAAGCCGTTTCTAAGGTAGAGCCCCTAATTTTATTGGTTGGGTCCGTCTGGTGTAAAATACGCACTCAAGTCTGTATGTACATGCAATGTTTGTGTTGATGAGTCTATTTCTATGCAGTCCTACCAAAACAACTATCACAACTTGATTTTTTTCCAGCTAACGGAGATGGTAAGATGTTACCATTCAAGTCGAAATTTCGGTTTTCATGTGCTTATTTTATCACACATCTCATTCTAGATGTTGTCCATTCCATAATAGCGAACATAGAAATAGTAATGGATTTATTAGACTTGGCTTGGTAGTGACAGTTTTCCTTTTTTTTTGTTTTGATACAGTAGCCGGAATGCTCTGTTATGTTTACTGTGGTTTAATCCCCACACACTACCAGATTAGTGGAAATTATTGCATGGTTTTGAGTTTGGCTGTGGTTCTTTGGCACTCCACGATCATTCCTTTGATGACTAAAGTTGCACCATCAGAGTCAACCAAACTAGCCCAGTGTTACTAAAGTATGCGGCACTTTAGTAGAAATGTGCAATTAAAAAAATATATTAGCACCGGATTTCTCCACATAGATAAATCAGTAATGGTGTCGGCTGTTTGAAACTGTGAACTAACTTTCAGGGAAGAGGTAATTTACTAAAAACGGCTGCGGTCGAGGCTGCCGAGTCGCCGAAAGACTCGGCGGCGGCCGAACAGGGCCCTAAAGAAAAATCTCCAAGCCCTTCCCCAGCCTCCGTCCCCACGCCAAAGCCACAGAGGCCGTTTACCTTGCAGGTACTTGTATTTTCGTTTATTATGCGCTTTTTGTAGAGAAACCTGCTGCTTTTTATCGCTTGATTACCAGCTTGCTCCGTTCGGAAAATAAATCGTTTTGATCGACTGTAAATGACTTGTGCATGGCCGCATTTATTGTGATGTATCTGGAGGCTTTCGACGAGTGCAACACCCTCAAGGTTTTCTAATATGTACAGTGTTTTTACACGATTGTTGCATTAACACTGGCTTTTAGCGGTTAATGGGAAATCGACAAAAACATTGGTTCTATTCTCCCTTTAGGAAATCACTGATGATGCGTCTACGGTGGAGAAACGATGGCTGGACGAGAGCGCCCCTTTCGTGGAAACGCGAAGGACGCCGGATTTAGAAAATATGGATTTAGAACAGTACCAACAATCCCTTGCTCAGTAAGTGTTTTCGTTTACAAACCAGCCCGGTTTTGTTCTATTAATTCGATTAAATTCTTCTAGTATGAATACTAGTCTCACTGACATCCAGTCAGATATTCAACGGTTGGCAGCGCAACAAAACCAAATGCACACTCAGCAACAGCAGAAGCTGATTGCTGACCAGCAGCGACAAATCTTGCAGCTACAGCAGCAACAGCAGGAGTATCAGACGATGCAGCGGCAACAGTCGCAGCCCTCACCTCAAGCCCAGTATTATCAGCCGCAAAAATATCAACCCAGTACGTTCAAGCGAAGCCAAGTCGGTTACATCAACGACAAATTGGTCCATTTAGGTTTTCCATCGCCACTGCAATCTTCCACAAGCGCCCCGCACATCCCCCAGTCTCTCTACTCTCATCCGAGCGTGATGGAACAGCCCCAATTTTTCCTGCATGACAATCCGCCTCCTGCAGCTGTGACGCCTCAAAGGAGAACTTGGGGACAGCCGATGAATCAGCCCCTCCAAGTGATCACCGATTCGTACATGCCACAACAGCCGGAATTGCGCACTTGGGGCAAACAGCCCGAAGCTAGCCCTGGAGGGTTCGTTTTGCATCATGCAACTGATCGGTAAGGGAAGATAATTTTAATTCAACCAGATAAGAAGCGTCGAGTGTGTGATAATTCAGATAAGATTATTTAAATGGCTCTGAGCGCAAACTGTTTTCTGCAAGTATCGAATCTGTTGTAGGTTTTCTGACCGTCCAGAGCGCTTCCAAGAATCTCCTCTCAGACATAATGAGAGCCGGTACCAGAACGGCGATCCCGATCGAGCGCTGAACCACTCAAACAGCTTCACGCTGAGTCAGCGCCATCACCAACAGGTATGCTGAAGATATATGGGAGTGGTACCGATTAGCAGGACGCGTCTCACTTTTAGAGCCATTTTGGCACTTCGCATAGCACTCCGTCCGCTTCGCCGCAGCATCGCAGCAGCGTTCATCGACAGATATCGCAGCTCTTAGACGACGCGGCTGCAGCCAAACGGCAGACGTCGCCAGTCAGCTTGCAGGCTTTAGATGCGGGTGGATCCTTGCGTGACAGGGAGAGGAAAATTAGCGTCACTCATGCTGCCGTTGTGGCACCGCCAGTCGATGACATGGAACCGCAAAATATCTCCTTTATTGGCAATAATGAGGACGTCGCTCTCAGTCAAAGTAGGTGCAGTTTCCTTAGTTGGTTGGGATCTTCTGCAATTGATCCTCTGTTAGGCCTCAGCAAACTGAACATCACCTCAGGGAGTCGCACCTATCGGATTCCGTCGCCCACACGGGCCTTAATTTCGCGCGGGTCTCCTTTCCAGGCGTCTCCATCTCCACCTACCGTTGATCCGCTGCCTGTTCAAATCAGCAGTTTGGATACCGATCCGACAGCAGAAAAAGGTAACTTTCTTACATTTAAGCCTGTTATTCCTAATTTATGTTTATCAACTTTACTTCAGGCTTCTACATTAGCTTTGATGATGAGCAGCCGAAGCGACCCAAACCAGCGTTGAGAAGTAAGCGGAATTCGCCCAAAAAGGAGCGAAGCTATGTGGAAACATCGGATGAGGCACACGATAGGCGAGAGGCTCAGACCAGGTAATACTATTTCTTGATTCAAGTTTTTTTATATGGAAGCTTATTATGAACACGTGGATGATCTTGCAGGCTGGACAAGAAAAGGCAGCTGGAACGGGAACTGGAAGAGGAACGGCTTAAAAAGGAAGAAACTGAGTACCGAATGCAGCAGCAAAGGGACAGAATACGAGCCCAGCGCGAAGCTACCCAGGAAAGACAGAAAGTGAATGCAGCTAGTGCTTTAGTAATAGGGGAACAAAACGACGCTGATCCTGTAATTACGCCCCGCATGGGCAAAAATGCGACTTATTTACGTTCGAATTGTTTAAAGGATCTGGCTGATGAAAGGGAGCGTAAAAAGGAACGAATCATGATGCTGTCGTTGCAACGCAGGCAGCAGCAGGAGGAAGCAAGGGCTCGAAAAGAGGCGGAAAGTCAGCGCAGAAAGGAAATCGAAAAGGAGAAGGAGGAGGAGAAGGCCAGAAGAAAAGAGGAGCAAGTGGCGAGACGAGCTGCCATTTTGGAGCAGTACAAGTTGAAGAAGGCGATTGAGGAGGCTGAAAGGGAGGTGAGTGAAAATCGACTACCAGACACTAAACGTCTAGGGAAAAGCGACCAAAGCAGTTCAAGCAGCAGGCTGAAAATAACCGTACTTGAGACAATTGAAGTAGTACTTTGCATTTTTATTAAGGCAATAAAGCGTGTTCTACATGAAACACGGCAAATAAACGACTGTACTTCAATCAGCGGTTTGTACAAAGGGGCATCCCAGTGGCACACACATTATTTCATCAAAATGGGTTGAAAATGCTTAACTTTAGTTGACTGGTCACGCGTCTGTTAGCTATTGTTTTATTAAAGACAATGTATTGGCAGACACCTGGAAACTTCACAAAATTTTCTGCTTGTAACGCTTTTGTTCTGTAAACGAACGATTAAAAAAAATATATTCCAATTTTCTGCCACCTCTTTAAGTCCACGCTACTGCATTTCGCTTCGTTAGTGCTGCAAGAACGCGACAATCGTTCAGAGCCGTCTCGCCTTGTCATTTCAGGACTTATATATAAGTTGCAGGAAAATAACCCGATGGCGCCCAGACTTGGCGGTTCTGCGTTATTTTAAGTATAATTCCAGACTATTTCAAGACGGTACATTCACTCCAATATTTGTCTATATATCATTGGACTTCAGTTAATCGGGTATCGTTTGTGCATATTCGTATCAATCGCGAGTGCTTGCAGGTGCTCATTAGTTGAAAATGTCGTTTATTTATTGGTCTTTGGTAAGTGCAAAGGTTTTATGGTTTTGTCTGCGATAATTTCGCTTTAATGGTAAAAGTGCACTAAGAAGAATTTGTAATAAATGGTAATTTTGATGGAAAAGTGAAACGACGAACGGCGAGAAATCGAGAGCTTAATATGAATAGCAAATGAGGGGAAACATCGGCAATAATGGGATTAATTATGTATATGCTTTAGAATCACTGTTAACGCAATTTTAGATGCGATTTGGACAGTGGAATTAATAAGTCTGGATGTTGTACTAAGCTAAAACCTTTTAAGGCCTTGTAATAATGTTTTTCTTTTATTTCAGGGTAAAACTCTTGATAGGCAGGACTTAATGTCGCTTAAGCCTGCACCGAAACTGCGCTCAAAGGGCCCCGCTAGACCCAGACCGAAGACAATTCACATCGATAGCGGATCCGTCCAGCTTGCGGAAGGCATGTCGAGTCGCGGCCGGAAAGGATCTACATCGAACTTAGGTAATTGAAGGGACTCTGAGGCGATTTATAATGCGAGTCCGGCATTTGGATGATTTTTGTTGATTTTGCCCAGCATGTGATTAATCCCGATTTATTTTTGTTTGTTTGATTTGGCTTAGCTTATGCCCCTTCGACAATGAAGCGCGATTACTACCGAGGTTCCCAAGACAGTCTCGCTGACCGAAGCATGAGCAATAACATGCTTTACAAAGGTGTGTTGCTTTGTGTTCTTTCATGTTAATTGCCTGTGTTCCAGCCAAATTGTCGGCTATCCAGATGTTGTATTGAGAACGAAAATCTATTTTAGATTCTCCAGATGATAGCCATGGAATGTCACCATGTCACAGCGCCAATCAGACTCTAGGCAGACGCAGTTCATATAAAACCAGCAGAGGTAAGTGCGGCCTCTCTGCCCACATTGTTGGATGTTGCTGAGCGTAAATATCTGCGAGTAGTTGTTGAACGATGGCACGCTACTTCTCTTTTACTGTCCCTCGTTTGCGGGGGGGCCCCATCGGGGCCGCTCATTTCAGTTTGCACTCCCCTTCAATATTTTTTATTTGCGAATGGTTTACAGTTGATGTTGGTTACAGGCAGTAGTGGGGACAGTAAGGGCATACATTGGTATCTTATTTACCCTCTTCTGTTACGTCAGCTGAAATGCGGCTAGTTCAGTTAAAACAATCAAGCGCAAGTGTTTGATGCGGTTTTCAAGCTGCTCCCGAAAGACCCTTTAGGCATGGAAAGGTTTTGTTTTTTATCATTTCCTGAACAGATCGCTGGTTGATTGAGTTTCACGACAGCCTTTCCATGTCTAATGGTAGAAATTGGAACCAAACGGATCCACTTGTTGCCTGCGTGGTTTCCAAGTGGAGGCCAGCCAGAAATCCCTTTCAGTTGACGAGTAGTGTATGTAAATCGTATTTTTGCAGACCCTTCCCCTGCCCAGGTGCGCGGGCGGTCTAAGATATCGACATATCAAAACTTTAAGGGCCGCAAGTCGAGCTCTCTGATGAATTTGTACGGTAAGACTTCAGCTCACTCTCTCATTGGCCTGGTTCAAGGTACCCTCTATCACGACTACTTTAATACATGTCTTGAGCTGTTGTTTATCGTGGGGCATGCCATTTTTTTAATAATCGCTAAAAGTTGCCATTTTTACAAAATATTTATCACGCCAAAGGTGATTCTGATTATTGCTGAAATAAGTTGTTTACAAACGATTTAGCAATGGAAAAACCTGTGTTTTTTGTGGCAACTTTTAGTGTTAAATTTATTTTCCTTATACTAGGATTAATTTTGGTGCTGGTTATTTTGTTCCTTGCTAGGCCTCAGACGTCCTGCCTGATCTTCCCCCAGTTTTGTTAACTCCCCTTTCTGAGAACGTTTTATTCATTTTGTTCTGTTCTTGTATCGTTAAATCACCCGGTGACATTTTTGATTATGGGTGCCGTTGTGTTCGTGCCTTGTTTCCAATCAGTCGAGATTATTATGCGAGTTTCTAACTAGAGCAGGCATTTTTTCGATTTTTGTAGCATAGTACATGCACGTATTTGATTTTGATTCGGTCATTTTGGGTTTGGTTATACAATACAACGTTTTCCCTGCCCATTAAACGGTTTCATTTTCCATCGAACCTCTGGTTAAAGATCTTTCTCTTCATACTAAATCATTAATGCAAGATATTTATTTGGTGAAGGTTTAACAGTTGGACGTATTTTAACCTGCACTCTTAACAGATCGCAATCGAACTGCAACGATACTTTATTTAACAGCAAAATTTCTTTATGGTTTGTTATCACCAACTACCTATTTACCGCTGTTTTTAAACTTCTAGGTCTGTAACATAGCTTTTAGCTGTTCCCTTCCCGGTTTAACTAGGTGTTAATTATCAAAGGCTTTTTCTATTCAGGCTCGAGCACTGATCAGGAAAGCATGGCGTATAGATTTGGGGACACGGATTCGGGGCTGGGTCGCGCTACGCCCCCCCGTCGGGCCCCCTCGCCAGGAATGGGGCTGCGCCACTTGCCCTCTCCGTCAGGTCCCGGCAGTTTACCGGGCTTCATGTCGAAAGGGCGCCGCGTGTTTGACGATGGATCAAGCGACATCAGTTCTACTCCTAGTAGCATGATGGACTATACAGGTGAGTCCTTTAAAAATGGTTCATTTGGTGAGGAAAGCGAGTAAATTATTTTTATTGGGCGCAATCCTTTGGAGGTGAAAACGGGAGAACTTTCGGACCCTTGCAGGACCGTTTTGGACGAGCAGTTGCTTTTTTTATTTTTTATAACTCGTCTGGAGAAATGTATTTGGATAATTAGGTTTCATCGGGAATTCCTAACCCTCAGAGAGGTAGAAAACTTACCAAAGGGTTTTCTGCTCATTTCCATATGCGGCAATCCTCCTAATAGCTAAAATACGCCGAACACTTCGAAACCAAACAAACCACTTGAAAACAGGGCTTTTATTTTACGCGGTTGGCGTCACTGTACACTGTCATGCGCGAGCTTGAATTGAAAGATGGCGGTTTTTTTCCGGAAGAAAACGTCAGCAGAGTTCCGACTCAATTGGGATTTTTCCACTTAAAAACACCGCCGCGATGAGGAAAATTACGTCAAAAGCGAGATCACTAGGTTTGCTTTCTGAAATGAGCAATTTTCCACTCTAGCGCGCATTATTTCCGATCAATTTTAGCGATTTTCCGAGCCGAACCGAGCGCACGACTTTAACCTAAAACGGCTGACAGGAGAACTGACTCCCGTCAGTGAGGAGAAGTGTTAAATCAGTTGCAAGCAAAAAATTCTGGTTAAAACTAAACATTCAAGGGAACAATTTACTGTTTTCGGAACTACACACTAACACTGAGAAATAGCAATCATTCTGCTATAGAAACTTGTTTCTTCGACGTATCGCTGACTCGTCCCACTGCTTGGTTTTCCAGAATTGCAACGGAAAATCGTGTTTGATTGTTTACAGTGTAAAGCATGCCCACATTCAACTGGGGAATGTCGTAAAACACTGCCAAAGTTAGCATGGTGAAAATAATACCAAGAAAAAGATACACAGTGGCGCCTATTTTATATGCGTTCAGATACCAGTTGGAATGGTATCGAAGTTTCATCGACTCCCCCGGAGTAAAATCGCCCAGGCCTGTGGTTGTGAGCGAAAGGAAGCAGTAGTAGAAGGACTCAAACAGCCCCCATTCGGGTTCCATGTAGTTGAAGAAGCTGGCAGGCAGCAGCAGGAAGAACACCGAGGTGAATGTTAGAAGGGCGATTAAATGGAGCAGCCGAATGGAGAAGCGTTTGCAGGAGTGGCCGAGCAGCTTCGAATTCAGCCAATTCAAACAGTAGGTTGTGGGAAGTAGTAGTCTATCGACGAAGGCCCCAAAGACACTCAGAGTGAGAGGAATGCCTATCAGGGACAGGATTATAGTGAAAATTTTCCCACTTTGAGTGACGGGAGTAATGTGGCCGTACCCGATGGTGGTAACGACGGTAGTCACAAAAAATACACTTTGTCCAAAGTACCAGTTCGTCTCATTGCCAGTCACTTGGAGCCCACTTTTGCCCTCCACCTGAAAACTCCAGATGAGCTCTTCCAGAGCGGCGTAAGACACACAGGGAAATCGCCGAATAAAATCAGTCTTCAGCTGCTGAAGGCGCACCAAACGCCGCATCTCTTCTTCTTGTTCAATGGCCAAATAAATGGATGCGCCAATGCACAAGAACAGCACATACCCGCACAGGAACACTGTGAATCTTTGGGTATTTTGCAACGGCATTTTTGGCTGGCGTGTGACTGATTGGTACTTGATTGGTCAGTGTCAGCTCTAAGCGCGTATATTTGAGCAGTTGGCCAATGGAACCAGTCGGATTGTTTCAGAAATTGAGCAATAAACCAGTTGAATTTAACGGAATGGTGCAAACGAGTTATTTTTCGCTCGAAACACTCACCAGTTGCGATGTTATAAACGTTGTATGTTGCTTAAAATGTGGTTCTCTGTTATTGATATTTTGTGGTTGTTGCAGGTCCCCGTTTATACAAGCAACCAGCCACTAAGTCGAACCGAAGCATAATGCTGAACGCAGTCGAATATTGTGTGTTTCCCGGTGTTGTGAACAGGGAGGCGAAGAAACGCGTACTGGAAGAGGTGAATCGCTCTGAAAGTAAGCATTTCCTCATTCTCTTCCGCGATGCCGGCTGCCAATTTAGAGCTCTCTATTCCTATTGTCCCGACACTGAGCTGGTGACGAAACTTTACGGAACTGGACCTAAGCAGGTCAACGACAAGATGTTCGACAAGTTTTTCAAGTAAGTCTATTTGCAAGTTTAACTAGTTCCCTAATAATGGACGGATAATTATATAAACTGTCCTTTTTTTAGATACAACTCCGGCGGTAAATGTTTTTCGCAAATTCACACCAAGCACCTCACCGTAACGATAGACGCTTTTACTATTCACAATTCGTTGTGGCAAGGCAAGAAAGTGAACCTGCCGAACAAGAAAGATATGGCCCTTGTTGTCTAATGAATAACTCAGCACGCATAAGTTGTTATTTAGTAATTTAAATTAATTTGTACTCTATTTTTTTTGTTAAAGCTTTATTAAAACGTTTTAATGTGTGTAAAATTCAGTAGCGATCAGGATTTTTACACGATTAATTAATATCTAATTATTGCCTTAAATAAAATTTACTATCGATAAATACGTGTCGGCAATGATGCAGTCTGAGATATTAGCAAGTATTAATTTTTTTTACTACATATACTAGAGGTCCCCCTTTTTCCCAATTTTGTTTTTGTACATGTGCCTTTTGTATTTATATATATTTTTAAGTCTTGTATGATTTGATTAATCGTTAAGCTTTTTTTGTGCCAACTAAACTTTCGAAGCAACTGTACTCTTCTGTTTTTGCAGTATATAGAGTATATCCGCAGGAGTTTAAAATTTTAAATAATGTCATTCCATTTGTTGTTCTATATAAGATATTGATGGGCTGTTTTTGGTAAAGTATTTTATTCGGACTGGAAGGTTCTTGCAAATACTTTACCAATCATTTGATATGTTTATGCTTGAATATTTATTTGGGTATTGAAGACTATAGCCTTTAAGGCCAGCCAATACACAGACTGGGTAGCTTGGATTAAAATAACTCGAACTCAAGTCTGTTTGAGGTTGGCCGAAGAATGAACTTGCTTATTATGGAATTGTGTGGTTTAATATTTATAGTAGAATTAAGTTCTCGTCACATTTATTCAAACAACACAGAAGGATTTATAATTGATTAACACACATTCATGGTAATAATAACGATTACGCAGCATTAATGTGGCTACTAATGATTTCATACCTGTATATATTATGTTTTTACAGTATAAATATTTATTAATACACGTAAAGCAGGCAACCTCTTTTAAACAACAAAGTTTCGTAACCCACTGTCATTTTTCTGAATCGACCCAATCGACGCCATTCGGGACTTGTTTTATCAGTTCTGATTATTGTAAATTTTTTTGGCATCTTATCGCAGGTTTCATTTTAAAAAAATTTATGTATATTTACCGATTTAATAATAATAAAAAACTTGATACAATGATTCGAGGTTTTCTTACTCTTAGTTACTATTAGATCATGGACAAAGGGAGCTACAGGCCCCGGAAGGGAGAGCTTGGGACTCTTATTGGTTTTATAGATTTGTTGCCGCATAAAATGTGAATGTTTAATAAATTTGTATCTATCTGTGGAAAAAATGTTTCGAATAAAATGAAGCAATCAGATGTATAAAATGGTTTATTATCAAGTATATTGACAAAATAAATTAACGTTACGTGATTGAATATTTGGACGAAATCAAAATAACAAACAGTACTAATATTAAGTCAGGTACAAAAATTATCAATATTTACGTAAAAAACGTTTACAGAAGATGATGAGGTGCGATGGACTTCCTTATTAGCACGCCGTTAATTGCTTGAATTGGTAAAAAAACTTATCAACTAATTGCACAAAGCTACCCGTCATTTCATTACATTAGATTCGCACGCGAAATGCCGTTATTTCCTATTCTGCATGATCGACTATACATGTTAATTAATCTATGATATTTTATACTTAGGAACATAACAGTCATGGTCTTGCGAGATTTGTATCCAACAAATGAAACATCAGTAAATTGCACTAATTAGAAACTAGTCTACACTTAAAAATCCGGTAATATCTAGAAAATGTTTACTTAAAATTATATAAATATTAGCTATTGGCAGAATACCTCAGTCGAATTGGCTATATGTATGTATATAAGTCTATAAAGGTAGCGTGGAAATATTTATTGTAACCGTAACATGTCTGTTTAAAATGTACGCAAAACAGAAGGAAAACAAATTAAGTCCGTTTGCCAGTACAACGTATGCAAATCCGATTGTCGATAGGAGGTAGGTAGCGTTTTTGCGTGAACTTTTTCAACATTGAAACACTTAGAACTTGAACAGAGTCACTCTGGACAAACTGTCCCGAATCCACAACAAATTAAACAGACATTTTCAATTGATTTAACGCAATTGCCTACACAACTTCCAAATGCAGCTTAACCATTTCACGTAGCCTCAACTGCGATGGAACAGGTGAAATCATTAAACCTGGCTAATGACACGCAGAACTAAGTAAAATCTTCATCTACACCTTGGCCTAACGCCACGAATTAAAAAATTGCGCCTAATGTTCTAAAAAACAAACTTACAACCTAGTCTACTAGATGAATAGTGATGTTATGAAGGTATAGCGATTATCCTATGACTAGATAACATTAAACGAATGCTGGCTTTGGGTGCCAAAAACTCATCATGCTCTCAACTTAACAACCTAGAAGATGATATTCGATGTGATGATGATGATGATATAATCGCTGATAATTACACCGGTTTGTGCGTGGTAGGAACGCAACAGATCTCAAATATTAGACCAGAAGACTGATGAATTGTACTTGAAACTCATTTGGCAGTGTACGATGGTGTTTAATCAACAATTGACCCGGTGTAGTCTATTCCGATATATTGAATATTCCCGAAAGCATTTTAGGAAAACAACATTAGTACGCTATAAAAATATAAACTATGCTATAATCAAAAATAGATATTTAAAACTTATTTTTAGGTATATTTTCATTGAGTTATCAGTCTCCATTTTAGATCGAAACCTGGATGGTTGAAGCGCTGATTTTGCCCGTAAAATGTCTTCTACTGAAACAACACACTAGAAATTCCCCTGTTTTGCCCAGCCCTGGAAGGTTCATTTATCAAGAATATAACATTTATTTATTTGACAACTTCTCTCCCGTCAAACAAAGCTCTGACCAATCAAATGCCTCAACAAGGGGATTCAGTTCTCGTGTCATCAGTTTTAGGGTCAAGTGGTGGCGTTTGGGACGGCTCATAAAATCGTTGAAATAGACCGAAAAAATGCACCCTCAAGTGAAAAATTCCTCATTTCGCAAAGTAAAACTAGTGATCTCGCTTTTGTTGCAATTTTCTTCATCGCAGCGGTGTTTTTCAGTGAGAAAATCTCATTTGAGATTAGGGAATTTGCTGACGTTTTCATCTGGGAAAGACAACCATCTTTGAATTTAAGAACGCGCATGTCAGTTTGCAGTGGTGCCAATAGCGTTAAATACAAGAGCTTCATTTCAAAAGGCTTGTTTGGTTAGGGAAGTGTTTGACGTATTTTGGCAATTGGGGATTGCTGCATATGGAAATGATCAGAAAACCATTTGGTAGTGGATTACCCTTATGGAACAGTGTATTTCAGTAAGTGAAAAGTATTAGAAAATCGTATTTTCGTAAAAACACCACTGGGAAAAGTTGCAGGCTTTCGCGTTCGCTATTAACAATTTGCTGCCGAAACCTTTTGGACATTTAATCGTTCTGTATCCAGAATTCCCTGATTTTCAAAGGGCAGCACCAAAATTAGACCTTGCCATTAAAAAATCAACGTATGACGATATCTACGATACTAATGACACAATGAAAAAGTACATTTGTATCAAAATGTACTCATTTATTACACAAATTAAGATTGACGTGTGCGAGCAATTTTTCCTTCTCCCACTTGTATTGACGGCTTAATATTTTCTATGCTTTTCGCGCTCACCCTGTATGGAATTTAACGAAACTAATATCATAAGTTTATAGAAAACCCCTCGATCACGTTCAACAAACAAACGTTTGTTCAACCAGAGCTTGACAAAGCATGAACACCCCTGTATTTTAGGTAAATTTTCAACTTTCCGAAATTGACCCGTCTACTGGATGAGCGTCAAAAAGTTGCTAAAATAAAATTAATTAATTTTCCACTTCCATTTGACTGAGTACCGAATGTTCTCAAGAGAAAAATATTGGCCACAGATGGTTTGGTTTATGTTCGAACTAACAGGCATCGGGGTGCAAGCCATGTTATAAGTTGGGAAACTGAATAGAATCTGCAGAGCACTCACTCCCATCGTAGAGATCACAAGAGTTCAGTCAAGGAATGTAAATCGAGATAATAAGGGTGTTGTTTGCACACATGCAAGAAAAATATGTTGAGGTAGTTCGACGTTTTTCTAATTAAGATCATCTACTTTGCATTGAAACCACTGAATTGTTTCAAGAGACTTACATTGTTAGACAAGGGCGCACATCGCCCGCTTACCACCAGGTTTCAATCGTTAAAGTTACAACTTACTATTGATATAGCTGTTGGCCGGGCTATTGGAAAAGCCCTCATCTTCGCCCTGACATCCGGAATCCCTCCTATTGTTTTGCATGTTAAACTTACCAAAAGTCATTAGACTACTGATTGATTTGCTGCGGCCCAACAAGGGCTCTTTTGGAGAACAGACATTTTCTAATTGAATACTTACAGATGATTCATCTGGGCATGTAGTGATCGAATTTTTTGGAGTCGCCTTCGATCTGAGTCGGTTGAATCGTATTATGAACGGCCATTTTTTGCCTTTCTTTTTTCGAAAGTTGAATTTACTCATTCCAAACCCTGTATTCAGCACCTTGCTGTTGTCCTCATCTTCGCCTAGTTTGATGAACTGAGCGGGAATGTCCATGCATGGGGTAAGCAGTTTGGGTGCGTTCGCAATATACTCCACCATTGCTGATGGGAGTGGCCGATCTTTCGGATCTGGAGACCAACAGGATTTCATCAATCCTGCCCTGGAATTTTTCAAAATTTATTCATAGAACGTGGTGCAGTAATCGAGTATACTTACAGCTGTGGTTTGGCTCCTTTCGGTATCTCCAGTTGCGCTCCCTGTAAAACCATATCGACCACCACTGTATTGTCTTTTCCGTAAAATGGAGTGCAACCAAAGGTGATGATCTCGTACAGCACAACTCCGAAGCTCCAAACATCCGATGCTGACGTAAACGTTCCGGTCAACAAGCTTTCCGGTGCCATCCAACGCACCGGAAGCATTCCCTTCCGCGTCAAGTGGTAGGACTCATAGGAATTCATAGGCCGTGTCATTCCAAAGTCACCGATTTTGACGATTCTCTGAGCATTTACCATGCAGTTCCTGCACGCTAAGTCGCGATGCACGAACTTGGCATCCCGCAAGTAGCTGAGTCCTCGAGCAATGTCCAAGGCCATGTTGGTAAGTCGCTTTGGGGTCACATCTCCGGACCCTTCAATAGTCGTGTTGGCTAAATGCCTGCGAGCCAGCAGGTAGTTCTTCAGGTCGCCAAACAAGCAGTATTCCATGATGGTTGCCAATGGGAGGCTTTTTGTCACAACCCCCAGCAGCTTGATCACGTTTTTATGGTCGAAGTTCTTCATGTTGTCCGCTTCTGAGAGGAAGTCGATTCGGTCATCGATGGACATGCTTTTTTTAAGGGTTTTTACTGCTACGGGTGTTATTCCGCAACTTGGAATTTTAGCTTGTCCACCGTACACGGTGCCAAACGCTCCTTCGCCTAAAACAATATGAATTAGCGTAACGGATGCAGGGAATTTCGATCCAACAGAAGAGTACAGGGACAACAAACAGGCAGTGTACAGAACTGCAGTAATAAAAATATTAATAAGTTCTATATTGTTGAGGCGGATTCATTTTTTACAAACTTCTTTTTGGGTATTTCGCCTCAAAAATTTTTGTCTTTAAAAAAGACAGAATTTCCTCACGTCTTTTATTACAGATTGATAAATAGTGCTCCCATTTCGCAATAAGAACGAATTATTTATCAAAAAGTAATCAAGAACTATCACTATATATATCACTATCCCCATTTTTTAGTTATTTATTTATGGAAAATTTTGAATCAACTTTCATTAATAATTACAAATTTAAACCTATAATTTGGTGGCGTTATATTGATGACGTATTCTCCATTTACAGTCATGGCGAACAAAAACTTGATGAATTTTAATCTTATCTGAATAATAAAGAA